TCTGGAGAACCCAAAAATTCCATGGGAACCTCAAAAGTTCCATGGGAACCTCAAAAGTTCTTCTGGAGAACCCAAAAATTCCATGGGAACCTCAAAAGTTCCATGGGAACCTCAAAACTTCTCCTGGGGAACCCCGGGAACCCCAAAACTGCTCCTGGGGAACTCCGGGAACCCAAAACTGCCCCTGGGGAACCCAAAAATTCCGTGGGAAACTCAAAAAATTCCATGCGAACCTCAAAAGTTCTTCTGGAGAACCCAAAAATTCCATGGGAACCTCAAAAAATTTCATGGGAACCTCAAAAAATTCCATGGGGACCTCAGATTTCTTCTGGAGAACCAAAAACTTCTTCTGAGGAACCCAAAAACTGCTCCTGGGGAACCCCGGGAACCCAAAACTGCTCCTGGGGAACCCAAAAATTCCATGGGAACCTCAGAAATTCCATGGAAGTCTCAAATTTCTTCTGGAGAACCAAAAATTTCTCCTGCGGAACCTCGGGAATTCTGTGGGAACCTCAAAATTCCACCTGGAGAACCCAAAATTCCTCCAGGAGAACCCAAAATTCCTCCAGAAACCCCCAAAATTATCCAGGAGAACCCAAAATTTTTCCAAGAACCCCAAAATTCCTCCAGGAACCCCCAAAATTCCTCCAGGAGAACCCAAACTTTCTCAAAGAACCTCAGAATTTTTCCAGGAGAACCCAAAATTCCTCCAGGAACCGCCAAAATTCCACCAGGAGAACCCAAAATTCCTCCAGGACCCCCAAAATTCCTCCAGGAATCCCCAAAATTCCTCCAGGAGAACCCAAAATTCCTCCAGGAAACCCCAAAATTCCTCCAGGAGAACCCAAAATTCCTACAGGACCCCCCAAAATTCCTCCAGGAGAACCCAAAATTCCTCCAAAAACCCCCAAAATTCCTCCAGGAGAACCCAATTTTTTTCCAAGAACCCCAAAATTCCTCCAGGAGAACACAAAATTCCACCAGGAGAACCCAAAATTCCACCAGGAACCTCAACTTTTTTCCAGGAGAACCCAAAATTCCCCCAAGAACCCCAAAATTCCCCCAGGACCCCCCAAAATTCCTGCAGGAGACCCCAAAATTCCTCCAGGAACCCCCAAAATTCCATCAGGAGAACCAAAAATTCCACCAGGAACCCCCAAAATTCCTCCAGGAGAACCCCAAAATTCCACCAGGAGAACACAAAATTCCACCAGGAACCCAAAAAATTCTCCAGGAGAACCCAGATTTCCTCCAGGAACCCCCAAAATTCCACTCAGGAACCCCAAAATTCCTCCAGGAGAACCCAAAATTCCTCAAGGAAACCCCAAAATTCCACCAGGAACCCCCAAAA